TTTTGTTCCGATGAAGTGACCCATGGTAACAGATCAAGGCAGGGCTGCTTTGCTGTAAGAGAGGAGAGCGATGTGGCAGTCTCTTCTACCTTTTCTTTTCCTGAGACATCTCTTAGAATGTGACTTGAAAACTACCAGGCCAAGTACTACTGCAGAAGAAGACAGAATCTTTCTGGGGGTGACAGTTGAGCTGAGATCCATGGGGAGCCAGAAGGCCATCATGGCATGAGAACCGCAAGTGCAAAAGACTTGTGGTAAAACATGTTTGGCGGGCGTGAAGCACAGAATGCTCTCTAGTGTGGCCAGAGTGTAGTCCATGGGAAGGGGGATCGATGTGGGAATCTCCACCCAATAGGTAGGTGGAAGCCACTTTGGTAAGGCCAGGTGAGCAGGATGCAGGAGTTTGAGTTGTATTTATTGGAAGCTGTTGAAGAAGGAAAAGCATCATAAACTGATTAAATTCTAAAAGCATCACTAGGTGCTGTATGGGGCAGAAGTAGAAAGGATGCCAGTGAGCCATTGCAGTGGCTCATGTAAGAAAGGATGGAAACCTGACTTGGATGGTGGCAGTGAACTTTTCAGTTACAGGTGGAGGGAAGGGTATGTAGTGCACTATCTCATCACAGGCATGGATTTCCAGGTCAGTGGGGGCACAAACACCTAATGACCCCCCTTCTGTTTATATCCTGTCAGTATCCTGTTCTGTCAATACCCACTTCCATGGGAAACCCTCCCTCATCCAGCGTTACTGTCTGTACCAGAGTTACTCTTACCATCGTATTCCTTCTTTTCCTACCTGACTAGACTTGGTAAGGACCTTAAAATCATCTACCCTGGTGCCCTGACTTCCCAGATGACAGGTCCAGCACTGATGATAAACCCAGCTCTCTTCATCCCTAGTCTGGTACTCTTTTCATTGCATCCTCAACTTTTCATGTATGCATGTCTCTACCCGTACTAGATCATAAGCTCCTTTTTTTTTTTTAGTTTTTCACTTTAGATTTAATTAAAGATTCTTAAGAGCAGGGATGATGTTTTATTCTCCCTTGGGTCTTGCCAGCATGTAGCATGGGGCTTGGTCCATAGACAGTTGGCAAATACCTGCTACTCATCTATTCTGCATTCTGGGGAGCCCACTACCACAGGAAATGCTCCACATACCATCAGAGATAACCTGCCCCTCTACACCAAACCTGACACTGCTTATTACAGCCACCACTGCTGCCATCATGCTGCCAGGTCAGGGTGACTCTTGGGGCTGCTCACAGCCACTGTTCCCAGTACAGACAAGATCCTTGCTCCCAGCAGAAGTTGAGCTTACTTACTTCTTACTTACTTCTCTGTAACTCCAGTGAGTATTGGAATATGGTTGGAATTAGGCCAAAACCCATAAAACCATGTTGGGGGGAGGTTCTACTAAGAAGCTATGATTATAGATTATGCATTATTGGGGCCAGGGAGATGGCTCAGTAGAGTAAGCACTTGCCTGGCAAGCACAAAGGCCTGAGTTCAATCCCCAGTTCCACCAAAAAATAAAAAATATAGATTATGCATTATTACCATTGCCTTTCCTGGATCTCCCTAGGTGCTCATGAGAAACACAATAACAAGGACTAAAGCTCTAGCCTTTGAGGCCATGGTCTATGGCTTCATGTGTCCCATCAAGAGGGCTGAATATAGACTTTTCTGAGCAGAAGTCCCCATGTATGTGTTAGTAGCTCTTGCCAGCCCTGTGTCATTTGCCCAAAGCATTGTTTCACTTTTAGTGAATGTAGGAGGCTGCATCCTGGGCTGTGATAGATGCTCTGTCCTTTCATTGACACATATTCTAAACAAATCCATTTAAGATTTGTATTTCCTTCCTCAACGGCCCCACCGAACGTCACCAAAGGCCTGGGGAAAGCTCTGGCACCCTGAGCTCTCCAGTTCGCTGCCCCTCTACATCACATCAGTGAATTCAGTCATCCAGGGCACTTGCCCCACTTTGGTTTTCCTTGTCCCTCACTCTCTGGGTCTGGACTGATATGTGTCAAAGCACATCATTTATGAACTGATCAGAATACAGTGCTTAGGAAGAGAATGCATTACTCACTTGGTCCATTGCTTGAGAATCTATATACCTGCATCTGTCCATTTCTAATTAAGATATACTTTCCCATTTGTATTTGTAATTAGAAAAGTACATAAAAATATAAAACCTCATTCATAATAAATAGAAAAGAGTAGCATACCTGGAAACAAAGCTTGTCTGGAATGATCTATCTTTGTGGAAGGGAATTTCCTAGGAAATTTCATAGGTGGCCTGCTGAAAATGTCATTTTAAGTGAGAATAGTGGGATTTTCCAATCTATGAGGGTATTGACAAGAGGAATTTGGGGAGATATGAGACAGGGTCTCACTATGTAGTTCAGGCTATCTTTGAACTCACTCAAGCTGGCCTCACGCACACAGTTATCCTCCTGTCTTACCCTCCTAAGTGCCACCATGCACAGCTTATGACAAGAAGAATTTTTCAAAACGTGCAAAATCACAGGAGAATTGGCAGGGAGATGCCTGTGTTAACATTCAGCTTTCCATCCATGGTACTCAATACCTGAGAAAGCCAGCTAAGGGGCAAATGCTTATCTTGGCTCATGGTTTCAGAGGCTTCAGTCCATGGTGGTCTGGCTCTGTGGCTTTGGAGTGGGGAGAGAAACAACATCATGGCAGTGGGAGTTATGGAGGAGGGGGTTACTCACCTGATAGCTGCCAGGAAACAAAGAGAAAGGGAAAAAAGCCAGAGAGAAAGAGGCCAGGGACAAGATATAGCCTCAAAGTCACTCCCCTAGTGACTCACCTTATAGAATTAGTCCCTTTCTCCCAATAGGCCATCTGGCTATGAACTCACCAATGGGTTAATCCACTGATGAAGTTAGAGACCTCAAGACCTTATCACTCCCAACCCCTCCCACCTCCAAACACTGCTCTCTGGGGACTAAACCCCTAGTATGAGCCTTGGGCAATATACCAGAGCCATACCATATGGATGCCCCTATTAACTCTTAACATAGCATGTATTATATTATCAAGAAGTTGAGTCTGGCCCACTTGGTAATTAGCCCCACCAGGGCCTTATCTTGCCACTCACAATTTATCTCCCACACCCGTTGTGTCTTGCCCAACCTCCTGGCATAATATGCCATCAAATTATGTACATCAAGAGCTTTCAGCACAGGAGCCTTGAGGGGACCACTGCTCTTTTGAAGTAGAGCTTCTCTTACAAAACTAATCTTTGGACTTAATAATGAGACTAGTGCTACTGCTGATGAAAATGTCCCCCTTTTCCACATAGATATGTTTTCTATCCAGTCCTTATGGGACCTCAGTCAGATCCAGAGCTTTCCTTTATAAGAGGCTACCTCAGCCCTTATCCCTGGCCTAGAACTTTCTGTCCTGCTTCAGATCCATGTTTCTCTCAGTGCCTCCATCCTCCTTAGGCTGCTCAGGTTTAAATTTATGTCACCACTAGGTGACATCAAATGTTGCACTTGAGTACACACATGTGTGCGCGCACACACACATCTCTAAATCTAAATGTTAGGAATTATGTCCTTGCATACTCAACGATCGTTTCCCTGGCCAGCAGTTGGAGGCATAACGGCAGTGTGTGAACTTATATTTGTTTGACTTGGTTTATTTGAAACTGCCAAGACATACCTGTCTTCTGTCCTGCCACCGCTGCTCAGTGGCTGTCCCCTTGTTTGGGCCCAGAAGCTGTACCTCTTCTGTCTCCCCCCACCAAGCCCCTCTGCCCTGCCCCAGGATTCCAGCAGGCTGCTCCACAGAAGTCATCAAAAAAAATTCCCAAACCAAAAGGTCCCCGTGCGTTCCCCTGGGAGACTATGATTTGAAAGTCTGGGCTGAGACCTGTTTCACCCAGGGAACTATCAGCGAATTCATTTTGACCCTAGGGTGGAATACAGGCAAACCTAGATGGTTCGTTACTCCTGCAAGCCTGAGACCCCTGTTCTCACAGGTGATGTTGGTACCATGTATGCATATGGATACCACTGTCGTAACCACACACACATGCATGCACATGCATGTGACATATTTCAAGTGCATGCATATGCACATGCGCCCTAAAACGTACATAAAGACACACAGAACATATTTTGGTTATACTATGTTTGCATCCAGTTAACCCCCTGATAATATTTGTAGTTGTCTCTATAAATAATCATTCCACAAACGTCACTCCCTAGGCCATTGTAATCTCCAGGCTCTGTGCCCACCTTACAGAGCCTCATACCTGCTTGGTGATGACGGCAGCAGCCTCCTTGCTGTCCCCCTGCCTCTGGACCGTCCTCTGGACCTCAGCCTTCATGGCCTTTGGAAATGCAGATTATTGCAAAGAATTTCAGAGGGCTCGTTTCCTATGGAGAGTACTTTGGAAAAATGTTTTCTTAAGGGAACAAGGAAATGATACAGAAAATCTGAGAAGACAAACTGAAAAGGAACATTTTCTCTTGGTGGCCAGAGTCATTGGTGAATAGATGACAGGAATACTTAACATTGTACAAGATGTTCTATATAAGAAAGAAAAAAGGGTTATTTTTTCCCATCAAAGAAGTACCACATGAGATCTTTCTGTATCTCCAAAGAAAGACAATGAGTTCAAAGTGATTTAGAGAGAAAGGAACTGAACAATTCCCTGCCTCATTCCACTCTATAGGAAACGCTAATGAGACATGGATTTGGGATATTTTCCCAAATAAGAGACTTCCTGAGTTTGTCAAAGATTGGAAAATTATTAGAGAATAAGGAAATGACGGTCATTGGGTATTCTTCTCCCTGCAGGGACCTTCAGATGGCCCTTGGTAGTAGCCTGCTCTTACCTGGATCTCCTCACGTCCACTTAAGAAAACTGAAAACATAGTAATCCTAACGTCTCTCTTTCTTTCCCCTTTTCCCTTTCTCCTCCCTTTCCCCACCCCATGTTTGTTTCCTTTCTTCTCCAGGAACCTTCTGCATCATTTCACTGTGCACCTGTGTGGCTGGGATCAACTTCGAGCTGTCGCGCTACCCACGCTACCTGTACGGACTCCCTGATGACATCAGCCATGGCTACGGATGGTCCATGTTCTGTGCGTGGGGGGGCCTGGGCCTCACACTCATCTCGGGATTCTTCTGTACCTTGGCCCCCTCTGTCCAACCTGTCCCGAGGACCAACTGCCCTAAATCCAGACCCGAAAATGGGACAGTGTGCTAAAATACAAACCCATACACACACACACACATATATATATATATAAATATATATATAATATACATATATAAAACAAACCTAAATCAAGACGATGCCAGTGCCAAGATAGAGTTGAGCTGGCTCAGGCACCTGCATCTCGCCGGACTTCGTGTTGTTTCTTCATCAAGGTGGGGACAGCGTTCCCGTCCTGTGGCTCTTCCATCGATTCCTGACTTTTGGCTTCATGGTTTTTTGAAGACAGAGCGAACGTCACCTCTGGGGGTGGCACCTTGATCCCCGTCACTCCTGCGGATGTGATGGTGAGCTGGAAGGGACAGTGGCAGTGGTCTGAAGTAACCCACGTGTAGAAAAGGAAGTGCCATGCCCAGGGCCAGCAAGAGGACACCAGCCCCCTTCATCTCACAGGGAAGTGACCCCTTGTCCACAGAATGTAACCACATCTCTGGGGCCATCGCAGAACCACTTCATTTTCTGCTCTTCCTCTTCTGAGCTCCTTCCTGGCCCACCAGCAACATACACAGAGAATGAAGGAGAAAACAAAAAGAAAAGCCCGTTTTCCCTTGGTGGCCAAACTTTTGGACAAAGTTTTGAAGGTAGAAAGGGGAGAGAGAGCAGTGAGAGGCATGACCCACATAGATCAAGGACACTTTGGTGGGTGCTCAGAAAGCCCAGTCTGACCTTCCAGCTGCCTTACACCCAGGTACACAAGAGGCCACTCTGTCCTCCCCACTGTACTCCCTCAGCAGATCGGAGTTTTGGACTAAAGCTGTGATGTGTGTGTGCGTGTGCGTGTGTGTGCTTGTGAGTGTATCTAGGGTGGTTTTCCTTATTTCCTTTTCACCTTTTAAATGGAAATACTGAATTCTGACTGTTGTACGTCACTGTCGTGGTTTTGTGGCCCAAAATGGAGGCCAGGAGATCTAAGAAATATCACGAGGGGCCAGGCCTCTATGGGTGTCAATACTGCAGCTGCAGATGCCTGAGAGAGAGGGAGGAGAGGGGGGAGGGAATGAGTGAATGAGCGAATGAATGCGGTGGATGTTTTCTGAGTGTGAGGTTTTATTGCTTGTGTTGCACTTTTTTAAAAATTATTTTTGGTACAGCTCAAATTCCCAGAGGGCAGAATCCAGAACAAAACCACTGGGCCAGAGGACCCTGTGGTTCTTCACATTACGGTCTGGGACTCTGCAGGGTTGAGTCCTCTTAACTGTGGAAGTTCAAGGCACAGCTGGGCACAAAGGCCATGAGAGAAGAGGGGGAACACACGGTTCAGGAGGGAGAAGGAATGCTGCCTCTGGTTGCTGTTGTGCAAGTATGTATGTCACAGAAGACCTTCACTCCCCACCTTGGGGGCTGTCCTTTGTCACTAGATGTCTACCCCTCTCCTAGGGGCAACTCCATACAGATGAAAGGAAATGCATCACACGCAGAAAGCACCTACGTTTTCCATGGGCTCAAGTTTGTGTGACGCTGTATAAATTTATGGAGAACTCTTGATTCTTTCCTTCCTCCTCCTTTTCCTCTTGATATTCAAGGTCATGAATCCCAAAATAGCTTAGTGGCCATGACCCAAACAGAGGTGGAATAAACCCATCCTAGTCTTGGTTTATCCCCTGCCCCCACTTGAGCAATTTGGCATCACAAGAGCCAGTGAGTGAAGCCAGCTAGAGTGCTGTGGATGTCCTGGGCCCAGCCGCTGTCGAGCAGTCCTAGGTGGCAAGATGGAACCCACAGGCTGGTGTGGCCATGGTCAGCTGCATAGCTGACCATCCAGTTGTTTAATAACACACATGCTTTGGGAGCTTTGCCAACCACTCAGCAGCCTTCCTCCCCCCATGTGCTCTGTTTCATCTACATGTCTTCCAGCTATCTTCCTACCAGTCTCCCCTGTCACTGTCTTTTCTCACCTACCAACTGCTGACCTTTGCTTCTGTCCACTGGACAGCAAGTCCTGCCTGCCTCCTCTGCTCTTTTGGATGGTGTGTGTGTGTGTGTGTGTGTGTGTGTGTGTGTGTGTGATCCATACCCAGACAGGACATCTGACATGGATGGATGGGTTTGGTGTGGTTCTCCATGTGAGGGTGTGTTTCTCTATGTGCATTTTTATGATGGTGTCAGTACATACTTGCACGCAGGTGTGGATGCGCTGCTCAAGACTTCCTTGCCAGGGACCCTGGTCAGCTCCTGCAATAGGTCTCATGCATGAGTGCCTGGGTATGGCTGTGCAGGATGATGGGGGTGAGCCAGGTAGCAAGAAATGCTGTTGGCTTCCAGTTAGAGTCTCTAGGGCTTCTTTTTAAGACAAAGGATTTATTCTGTGAGAAGGGAAGTGGTTTGCAAGAAGTGCCAGTTTTTCAGTTGTATTGGAAATTTTATTTTCATTTTTTTGTTTCAAGTTAGATCTCTCCCTTAAGGGGAAGGGCATACATGGGCTTGAGGAAAAGTGAAGAAGAGCATCTCATATTGAAAGGCGTTCTGTCTTACTTCCAAGTGTCTTGAAACAGGCAGGGATGGGTAGGTGTCTGCAAGTATCCATTTGGGTGAGGGAAATTTTCTACGACTACATGCAAGTTCCTGTTGCTTTCCAATTGCAGAAAGGCAGGGGAAGTAATTCTCAAGGGGCTGATTTACTATCACCTGTAATATAATTAACCACATTTCAAGATACTGCCTCTTTGACCTGACATTCTACCTTTTTAAAATTCCATACTAACCATAAATACATCATGTGCTCTATCCAATTATGTCTCTTTGTGACAGACCTTTGACAAAGCTCACTGCATCCCTTTGAAACTTGAGCATCCCCAAAATGTCAGGAGGAGCCCAAGAAATGGAATCAAATGGTTTATACCATTTGACTCAATGCAACATCAGCAGAGCAGGACCACAGAGTAGGTTTTTTTGATAGTGGGCTCAGATGGGTAAAAATAAACACTCTGGGATGTACCTCTACTTGGGAGCAACAACCATGCCCAACCATGTGGTCAGGGTGGAAGTCACTGTAGGACTGGCAGGTTTTGGCCAATGGGAAAATTCCAAGATGACTTTGTCCCTTCACACATAGGGGTTTGACCATAAGTAAAAACGTGCCTAATTACTGAAGTGTTCTAGCGTGTGGTGGCTAAGAAAGAAGCAGTGGACACAGAAGAAAAGAACCTTGTCTTAGGAGGCTCTCTAGAGCAGACACTAGAGTACCTTCTAAGGTACCTTCAAATCCCAGTACCTTCTAAGGGGAGTTATGATCAATAGCTGCAGCAAGACTCCCATTTCCAATCTAGGTCAAGTTCAAATTCCTATAGTTGTGTGTGTACAAAATATGTGGTCAGGCATGTGCTACAGGCTCCATACAAATCAACCTCCTTTCTTCTCTAGTAATTTAAGGGTGTCTCCTGGAGAGAAACCCTATTTCACTTTTTCTTCTTTTGGAAGGAATGGTTTCTTTTCCTATTTCCTTTCTCACCATTCATTTACATTTTCTTCCTTCATCAGCTTTTGTCACTTAAAGTAGTTACTCCTTCTCTAGAGAGGCTAGAGATAGACCCCAAGCAGTCCTCTTGTTTGTTGTGGCTGTAGGTTTTGTGAGGAGATCTGTACAGTACTGGCATCAAAATATAAAATGTAAAAAAAAAAAAAAAGGAAGAAAAAAGAAAAAAAACTGTGCCTCTTCCAGGTTCAGTCCTTCCACAAGCCTTAGCCTTTTAACAACTCTACGCTTTCACCTCCAGAGACAGGAAGGCACAAAGACTGCACCAAGTGGGGACTGGTCTTTCTTAACCTCATGCTCCTGCACAGCATGTGGGGCCCTGGAGCCATACGGGTGCAATCTCCCACTGAAGGTGAGTGGATCCACCCAGTGGTGCTGCCTTTCTTTCCATAAGAAGAAAGGGTATCTGGATACTCTGTCTCAGTACTTGTCCACATTCATGATAAGAGACCGAACAGAAAAGTATCACCGCCCATGTGTGGCTGTCCTGATTTCATGGAAGGATGTGCCAATTGGATCTCCAAAGCCACCTGCCTGAGTCAAATTCAGAATGATGAAGAAAACACAGTACTCAGGTATTTAGAATGGACTATCTTTACCTGGCTGATGCTGAGAACATTACCTAACTAATTTTCAAGTATCTGTTGGAAGTGGTGAGAAGAATTACACTGGTCATCCTTTGGTATAGCTGCTGTGGGAAATTTGGCTGTTTCTTGTCACTTGAGCAAAGTTGCTTTTCTGTAATCTTCTCTCTGCTCTAGGGAAAAGGCATCCCAGTGAACACATCCAAACCTTTTCAGGGAAATATGATGAGTCAGAGCAAGAGCTGATTTTACCACAGATAAAAATAACTGGAGCAAGCCAGCTGAATTGTCTTTGGTGCTGCCTTCCAGCGAGTATGTGGCAGGGGAAGGGGATAGACTTTAAGCAGGCCCACAACAGTTGAGGCACATAAGTGATTTTGTGGTCTTGAAGCAGTTGGATTCTGGGACTGTATTTCTCATCTTTTCATTGATGTTGCCATGGTGCAAACTTTTTAAAAATATTTCCAGTTCTTAGGATGTTATTATTGGCTACTGGGTTTTTCTTTAGTGCAACACATATGCATTATAGATTAGAAAAATAAAATGCAACAGAGTACTCCTAATTCTGTCACTCTGAGGCATTATCAGTGTGCTCGATTGTAGTGGCCGTGACTCCAAGTCCTCCCTAGTTAGTGAGCATCTTTGCTTTGGCAGGTGAGGCTAGAAGGACTTTAAATGGTCACAGAGTCACACTGGGCTGTATGGAATTCCTGGCAGCAGGGAGCAGAGGCCTCTGAGCCCCAAAGATAGCAAAAAGGTCTTTGAAAACTCAGTGCCAGACTTAGAGGGTGGGTGGAACAGGGCTAAAAGAGTCCTACTTGGGAAATGTTCTCTTTCTTTCTTCTACTTGTTCTTCTTCTTTCCAGGTCCTCTCTCAATTTAATCCTGGGTATAAGAACACTGAAGCTAGGGTAACTCACTAATTAAGCTCCACT